TAGAAGGCACGAGAACAATAAGAAAGAGTTATGTAAATAGTATTAGGGATTAAGGAATAGTCATGTAGAGTAGCATTAGTGAATAGTTGTAGTAAGCAGTAGTGCTAATAGTGCTACGTATGTAAGGACTGTGGCCGTGAAAACCTGGTGTTAGGCGGCCACAGATCTCTGTATATAGTCTAAACCAAATATATTATATTATTATATATTATTATATTATATATTATATCGAACAAATAAAAATATGGTCTATTTGAACTCCATGATACTGCGATTTCATATGCCAGTTGATAATTATTTAACTGATTAAGGCATAAACTGTTATAGAACCGAAATTGTGTTGTCAAAATATCGGCGTCCTTCACTATAGTTGGCCAATCCAGTTGCTGTTCACTCCTTTGCAGCGGTTTTTTTAGATGCACACTTTAATATTATCCCTTAATGGACTCCAGTTTGTCTGAAGTATACTCTCTCTCGTCGCTGTTTACTGTTTTCGTTTCGGAAGATTTCTGTCTGATCTCGACCACGGAATCGGCTGGCTGCAGAGGTTTTTCCTTCGTGGCTTTGTATGTCCTGTCCGTTAAAGGTTGTGTTGTCCTATGTCAAAGATGCTTTACTATACGTTTAAAGATTTCATTGTTTCTTGTTTAAATTTGTAATGGTACAGATTACAGAGCCCAGAACGCAACAGAAGAAAAACTACTTTGCAGATACCGACTGCCTTTTTTAATGAAAATTCGTCGAGTAGTTTCGGGGGGAAAAACATGCGGATTCATGCAAAGAATCCATGTTACTGAGCTCACGATTGTGCTACGAATGTTTGTCTCTTCTCTTTTTTGCAGTGTGTGCCGATCCCCGGCCTAGGGTTTCGGCGCGGCAGCTACAAATGTGTGTGCCGCCGTGGATTCTATTTCCCTGATGTGAGGGCCGTGCATCGATATTACAATGGCACAGTGCTGGAGGAGGAATACGAGAAATTGTTGATGGTAAGATAACCTCCTTGTGGCAGACAGATGGGATTCGTACATGTGAGAAAAATATCGGATGAGCTTGTGATTAGATGGGACAGAGGACTGAAGTGGAAGCAAGCAAGATGGAGTACTCGTGCAAATGAAAAGTGCCAAAGGTTTATTGTAGGCGAGGAATGTTTTGATGCCACAGTTGGCTATTCTGCTTTTTTTTTTATTCGGGAGTCTGCGAGCCGAAACCTCAGCTAGGAGACAGGGTGTCCTGACTGAGGTGTTTTGTAATTTTCCTCATTCTGCCCAGGCATTTGCTGGTGTTACACGGTAAAGTAGACCGCTGAGGCTTCCTTCCACGCTGTTTTTTTTTTTCCGGAACGAACACGCAGTTCAACGCCACATGGCGTGTGGCATAAATACAATAGTTCATATTAGACTCTTTGTATCTGTCCCCTCATAACTACGTATTGAATAATTTCGGCCTGTAGGAAAGGACTGAGGAATGGATTACTGAGCGATATCATCGAAGGCCAGATTGAAGGAAAGCGAGGACTGGGAAGAAGACTGATACAGCTAACTGACGATCTTAAACAAGGAAAGAAGATGAAGTTTCAGGAGTTAAAACGAGAAGCAGAGAATAGGGACAACTGGAGAGCTCTTTTTGGGCAGAACAATGGACCTGTCGTCAGACAGAACACTAAATAATAAAATAATAGGAAAGGACTAATGTATGATAGAACTGCTATATTTAAGGCAGTTAAAAAATTTACGTGTAGAGATGTCAAAATTGATTTCGGCCCAGAATGCTGCTTAGCTGTGATGTCAGTTTTACCTTTTTTATCTTCAGCACTGACTGTGGCGTTAAATACAATTAAGTAAATTCTCATTTATTTTCCAGAAGCTTTGTACTTGCGTTTGAGTGGGATGGGCGATGCTTCCCGAGTGGTATTTGATTGCTTATTTCCATTAGTTTGGTGCAGTGCGATTGAATTGCGAGTCCTGTGTCTTTCTTCAGAGTGGTTTCATCCCGTAAGGTTTCAAGATTCAAATGTTTTATGTTTCCTGTGTACTGCTTATGCATATTACGTACCTTATATTCCTTGATTTTGTCCTAACAATTTTCGTTGAAGATTGCAAGTTATGTAATTTTTCCCATCCTGCAACTTTGGCCCAAATATTCTGTTTGCGTCGGAATCAGCATGTAATAGAAAATTGCTGTCTTCTGGGTTGTTGCGCCGTGTAGTCTGGTAGATGTCCACCGACGTTTCAGAAGTCCACATCTACCAGACTTCGCGGCGCAACAACTCAGAAGACAGCAATCTTCGACCGTTGGAAGCCTCAAATCCTACACTGGATATAATACGTAGATGTGGCTGAAGTGTTTCAACAGAGTCATTTTGCTTTGGGTCACCTTGTAGTTTCAGCGTGGAGTAATGAAAAGTGAGGCAGTATATTTCGCCGAGGCTCCACACCGTGAGTGACAGGCCATTAGTCTGCATTGTTCTTCATCAGATTCGCATGTGTAATGCCCACTCCACACTGTAGCGACAGCGAAGTGTGACAAGCCAGTTCCCACACACATTTGCCACAGAATTCGGGTCCTGTACAGATTAACATCGTAATTAGCACAGTGTAATGTAATCACGTAATTTACAAATAATGGTTGTGCCTTTCTTTTCTACAAGCGACATAACATTTTGAAGTGCGGTATTAACTCTCGATGACCCTGTTTGCAGGAAGTAGACAACCAGTACAGCGAGGCAGGTATGTTTGAGTGCCTGCAGTGCGCCGAGGGTTGCGAATCGTGCGAAGACGACCGTCCCTGTGTCGTGTCCCTGAACTGGGTGATGCGCACCGCGATTCTCGTCTTGTCCTGCGTCATCATTTGCTGTCTTCCGGTTGTTGTCCTGTTCACCTGGAGGTACGGCAGCGTCAAGGTAGGAACGGTCCCAGTTAGGGTTATAATGTTATTACCGTGTCTGAGTTTAAGTGTCGACTGATGTATTCTGGGATTATGATATTGTTGTGGGACATTATATTACACAACTTTCAGGAAAGTACGTTTAACGACGCCAGTGTCTGCCTCATCTCATAAGTTCGCAAATGTAGCGATGTTTATATTCATGTTCATTGTTTTATTATACAGTTGCACATTAGATATTTCCCATTTTGTGAGGTTCATTTTACCAGGCACATTTTTAATATTGTGTTATTACGTTCACTGCAAAAATGACGGGACTCGCACTGTTAACGGGAGTGTTAAATAGTCTAAAATAGCCGACGCGTTGGAGATCTCGGTTGTAATAATTGTTCTTAGTTGAAGTTTGTTTGTTTCTGACAATTAGTGTTTTTTTTATAATTAAATGTGTTGCAAATAATAGGTTTCCGAACATTGTATGTAATGCTCAGTCATATCCAAGAGGGCAGCACAGAGAATATTAAATTACGCACTTGCATAGTTTCGTTGTAAAATATTTGTCGAGGAGAGAGAAATGTTGACACTTTTTAATATTTTACCGATTGTATTATATGACAGCATAAAAACTGTGAGAATTGAAAGAACAGGTAAAAAATATTTAAAATGTTTCCCATTCTTTGAATAACTTCACGGTCTTTTGTTGTGTACACTTTTTGTTTATTACATTTCCCTTTCAGAACGTTGGTACGTTCCATTAGTTCCACAAGTGACTCGTTTCTCATTTTTGTTTGTTGCCCTGGATTTATGAATTTAAAACAATGAGCAATATGGGAGTGAATGGATTTTGCTTTCTTCATCTACGGTCCCTTTGTTAAAAAGCCTTTTATTTTCATGTTCTTTTATAGAATGCCAACAGTCCTATGCCCGCCTTTGTTTCAGTGGAGCAGTGTGTCAAATTTCTAAGTCACCAAATTATCTTTTTCCTCATATTCGACAGTACTCGTTTCGACGTCCATTTTTATTTATCTTCAGACATGTCGTCATGAATTATGTGGAAACAAGTGAAGGCTGTTTCTTATGCCATAAAGCACGTAAAATAGGCGCGTATGGAATAGACCGTCTCCTCCTGCACCCGTTACGCAGTGTCTTGCAGAATTGTAACCCGAAAATCAATTCGTTCTTCTATTCATTAACAGTCTTTAACCAGTGAAGTTGACGAAACCTGATAACGATTAATAATACTTCCTTCAACTACTAGGGATTTACTCGTGGTACATATTAATAGTTATATTCCATTTTGTTGTTATATATAAAAATGTTACGGCAAGAAGCTTCATGCAGTAAGGAAACCGTGCTCAGCAGTGAACAAAGGACGCGCCTTGTAACGAGATCTATTAAGTTTGAGATGATAGGAGCAGAAAGGAAAGAGCTTGAATGGAGCAACGAAAAAGTTCTTCCCGCTTGAATCTCAAATCTGTACGGCCGATGGGAACACGGCAGCGACTATTCTTACCCTTCCTTTGGATTCCTTTCGGTCGTGGTTGTGTGCTTAATTAGCTCTCACACGTGGCTTCTGTCTTGCTGCAATATTTTAGTTCTAAGCTTGTATAATTTTGATGAAGGTGGATGCTTGCATACGCACAGAGTGATTCGGAAAAGGTTTCGTGTGTTCGAAACCAGATGCTCCCTCGTGCACTTCTGTTCTCACTGTTCTTGGAGGCACTTGCTTAAATGCACAACTTTTTATGTGTACCACAAATGTTATATTGTGTGGGTGTGAAAATCGTTCTTTCATTTTTAAGGAAAAGCACAGACAAATTTCTGAATAAAATACCTTGGCCTAGCAGACTAAATACAACGGTGGACCGCAAAGGGGGAATCACAAATACTGCTAGTCGCCTGACGTTGTTTAATAATATTAAATCAGTGATGGGATTGGTTTGGCATGTAGCATGCATGAAAACCAAGAAAATTTGTTTTAAAATGGTTATGGAAAATCTGTTTGTGAAATATGTGTGAATCTGGGAATAACATTGAAAACTATCTTGGAAATGTTTACTCGATTATACTGACCCTTCAAGGTACGTGTCTGTGTGGACTACGTTTTTTTATTCTGATTTTTATTTTACATGAAAATATGAATACTAATATAGATTTTATTGACTTCGAAAGATACATATCCCTAATCTCGGCACAAAAATAAATAAATTTAACATTTTTCAACATCACGCACAGGACTGTTGTACAAAAAGGCCCAGAAAAATGTTCCTTTTACGTAAGGGAGCAGTGCTTATGGCTTTATGTACTGACGTAGAAAGTTATCGGAATACATTACAGCTTGAGTTTTTTGACCGTAGCATGAGATAAATTGTCAGTTATTGAACCCACGCCCATACAGAAATAAGCAGTTTTCAAATATATTTAACGTTCGTGATATAAGACAGAACAAATCTCACGATTTTATATTTTTATTTTTCTTGCTGCACTGTTATTATCATCCCTTACTGAGCTTCTTATTCTTTCCCTCGAGATGTTTGTAGGAAATGCTCCTTTTTATTGGCGCCATCTTGAAAATAATGGCGGTGTTCGTTATTTAATCTAGCATTTGGCATCATTTCCCATGTTAACTGCCTACGCAGACGCATTCAATTTGATCGACTGCCAACCAGTAAATCCCTACCGGTGATAATCTCAGATATACGTACTCATTATCAAACACCCTCTCCCCAGTGAACGCTGATATCTCATTTCGTTTCGTATTAGAAAGTAGCAATAAGAAAAATCCCATCTAAAAAGACGTTCGTTTTGGTACTCTTGAATTCAGATGAAGGTGTCGCTCGTTGCATTAAACTACTTGTTTGCCTTTTGCCTGCCTGCCTTCCCATTTCCGTGGATTGCTTAAGTTACTGACAGCCCGTAGGCTACAAACTGTAATGCTCATCATGTAACTGGGTTACAAGTATCATCCTCTCTCTGACTATGTTCTTATGTACCGAAAACGGTGCAAATTGGTCTTCTGGAGTCTGTATGTAGATGGAAAGGATGGTAGGCGCCTTAACTCCTTCTATAGCTGTCTGTGTGCTCATAATTTGTGTTTGAGATTCAATATAGATGGAATCTAATTCATGAGTTCTGCTGGCGTCTGTGTGTAGATGACACTGCGGTATTAATGGTGAATTAGACCACGTACTTTATTCGTAATTTTCTCTTGTTTGTGTGCTCCTCTGTGCGCTTTATAGGACTAGAAAAATTATTTATAATTTCTGTTAATCTCCTTGTGTTATGAAAGCATCTATGGTTAATTAGGTGTTACAAGTTTATTCAGGAACGCCTTCTTATTTAAGGTTTATGGGACACAGGATTTTTCTTTTAAAATCTATTAGTGATTTGTGTGTGGATTCTCAGTGTCTGGCCTTTTTAATTTTCGTGAAACTCGGTATTAATATCATGAAATTGAATGTATTCGTGCAAGTATTGGTAATGATAATTTTTAAATTTGTCAACACAGACGTGGACGTCGTGCGAAATCGTAGGTCCGTAGGAAAACGGTTATGCTCAATGTCAGATCATGAAATTATGTACGATATAGTGATAAGTCTTTTACACGAAATATAACAGCCCGTGAAATCTGTGCGTGTTTCACGCACATCTACCATTAGTGTGAATGGTAATAGAAAATTATCTCGTATAAACGGTTGGAACCCGAAATTTCACCAAGCGAACCGGAAGCTATTTTCAGTTAAATTAGCAGTGGACTTGTAACGAGACTGCAGCTCTACGTGGCTGTCATACACAGCCTTCCATTTAAAACGCAACCCTACTACGAAATCAATGGCAATACAGAATTCTTGCAACCGTGTCCCGTTATTACAGCTGATGGCACTGCTTGAAATCCGCAAGTTGGTAATTTCACCCGTTCCGTAGCTAGATAAGCATTTGCCACGGACAAACTCATTTCTTGTCCCGAAATGATGTGTCCAGCCGGTGTTTTGTTGTGTTACTCGGTGCTCCCTTGTCAGAACGCGCATTGCCAAATGATTCGCGAACAGCAGCTAACGATTTCGGTGCGACGTAATGTTAGAGAATAAACACACGTTGTATTTGCGCTTTTGCGCAATTGACATGAGTAGCGGCCTAGCAATGACGACGACCTTCACAGGACTGACATTTTGAGGATGGGAGTGCCTACTCCCTTTCAATTTTTATGCCTTAATAGATGTTTGTATTTTTCGGGGGGGGGGGGGGGGGGGTGGCGTTTTGAATGTTACAACCTGTATTTCAGAGATTTCGCATTTGTTTGTACGACGATTGACGGAGCCCATACTTATCAGTTAATTTATCGCAGTTCATTGGCAAAGTGATAGGAAATTCGCTGAGTTTCGTCTGTTCTTTTATCCAACCCGACTGCTGCAATTTGTGGTAGAAACGGTTTGCTTCATGAAACTACAAAGCGCGCTTGTTGAATGTAACTCAAACACATGGGCGTCCTACATGTTTCTACGGATAGCATTGTCCTATGACAATGAATGCAGGAATTCACGTGTGTTTTTATATATTCCCATGTCCCTACGTTCTACGTTTTTCTGAGAGGCTTGTTGAAATTGTGGTATAAGTTCGGATGACAGAACACAAGCATCACAAAACAATATCATTCTTTACGGGGCAGTAGAAGAGCGAATAATTTGATTACGGAAAAATAATTGAAATGTAAAGTACGCTATTGTCATTGCTGCCCTTGTTATGTCCTGGTGATTTTAAGTTGGTGAGAGGGGATGCGAACACACAGGCAGGGTCAAGTGTTCTCCAGTCGCATGTCAGACAGGACCATCACCTTAACAATTGTATCTTCTTATTTTACATACTAATATTTTATGACTTACGTCCGGACTATTTCATCATCTTCATATTCAGAATCGTCCATCCAATGAATATAATAAATAAGCCGATCTCTGGATTCCACCTAGTTTCAGTAGAACTTATTTCACGAAAATTCGTTTTAATACTATCCTCCAAATTTGT